TAGCTTTTTCTTGTTATGGGGAGATTTGATAGGGAAGGAAAGCCGTATTGGAGTTTTGTCAATAACGTGAATATTTTTGTTAAAGTAAAGAGACGTAATTCATCTCAGTGATGGATGGATAACACGACATAAATATTAATGACCTATGCATTGAAGATTACTTAGTAGTAATTAGAGGCAAAGTTTGTAAATCAAGTGTGTTTTTAGTACGATTCTGATAAAGGAAAGCTTTATTCCACGCCCTCCTTATGAATCATGGCGATTGTACTTAAATTTTTGCAAATGATTCTTTAATACCAATGTTTTTTAATTCTATGATTACACCGTAGATTCTATGGAACCCGGCATAAATTATGAGGATTAAATCAAATCTATGTTTGGATCGTGTTTATAAACTGCTTATAGACATTCAAAACATTTTTGCTCTTACATTTTGAGGAACCACAAATACTACTCACTTATTCATTATTCACTTCTGTTTATTTATAATTTAAACTTTTGTATACACTTTTCAAACATGCTCTAAGGGTCTGTTTGATAAGCAAAAGTGAAAATGAATTCTAATTCCATGTTAGTTGGAAAATAAAAACCCACCAAACTTATAGGAATTCGTTTTTCATGAAAACAAAGAAAATGCAGTTTAAAGTGGTTGTATTTTGAAATTCGATTTTCACTACGATGCAATCAAACAGCCAAAGTGGAATTCGTTTTCCTCGGTGACCCATTTTTCATGAAATTCGTTGCAATCAAACACGGTCTAAGTGTCTAATGGATTAGTGATGGAATTTTTTATATATGAAATTTGTGACGGACAAGATCTATTGCTAGTACTTTTTACATGACCGTCATATACTGCCAAAATTGCTAAAATAAAACCCATCATTATAGGTAAAAGATAAATGTAATTCGAAATTAAAAATCCACAATTGGTGATGAATTTTGTGATGGAAAATTATAATTATAATTAAATTCAAAGAAATAAAGTTCTAATTGTGTGAGTTTATTGTCCATTGTATTTATTGCTGATAGATCTTGTACTTGGTATATTGGCAGAAACAATGTATATTGCGACGAATATTGCTCTGAAACAGCCCACAAATAAGCACTTATTCTAGTCATAAAAATTTCTGTTTTATTTTCTTGAAATAACTTCAGTAAATTCTGATTTATTCTTATTCTTCCTACAATTTCACCAGTTTCTTCAATTATTTGGGCATGTTTGGCAGATTTAAAAAAATTACTTATTATATCTACTTATAAGTAAATAACCAGTTTTAAAACTCTGATATCATCAGATTCTTTTTCAGTATTACTGACAAAAACATGCATAATTTGCATGAAATTGCGCCTTAAAAATTGAATCTAAGGTTGTCTAATTTTATTATGGTAAATTTACTGAAAAATATGGGATTGATTCTCAACATAGAAAAGAATCCTAATTTGCCACAAATACTTAATTTAAACAAGCCGTAATCCAAGAAGATCGGACTATAAGTTAGAGAGATCAGAAAAGGATAGTATTGCTTTTGTAGAGTAATTATTCACAAATGAATTATAAGTAGCTTAGGACTCTTTAGTTTAAGTTTGAATTATTCTCTTCTTCTCCTTTTCTTTTACTTATAAAAAGGAAATTCTGATACGGATAAAGGGTTCTTCTCTGTATACAGAAAAATACAGTGCTTTACTTTTAAGCACAATAATATTACCACAGGCTTTTTACAGTGAAAAGGCAGAATGTTTTTTGTCAAGTTTTCAAATTTTATTGTTCTGTTCATTCTTTTTGCTGTGTTTCAAGAACCAGCTTTAGCCATCAAAAAGGTTTACAGTGTACTGCTTTTTGTTTAATGAGAATATTTCCATCATGCAATAAATTATAAGTTAATTATGGCTTTTCGCAGTCTTATATTGTGTACTTGGGAGGACATTCACATGGCATAGAAGTAACTTCCGATCAACTCAATAAGGTTGCAGATTCTCACCACGAATTACTTGGTACAGTCTTAGGAAGGTATGGATTTTTTTGCTCCAAAATCTGCTTATTTTAACTTTTAATCTGTAATATCATAAGATACTGAATATGTTACTGTTTTCTTGCAGTAAAGAGAAGGTGGAGGATGCGATATTTTACTCGTATAATAAACATATCAATGGTTTTGCTGCAATGCTAGAAGAGGAGGAGGCCGCAGAGATTGCAAGTATGATGACACGCCTGTGTTCTTTATGTATTTTCAGTTATTTGGTTTTGGCGTGGGAGAGTACTAAAGAAGAAAAATAACAATGAAATCGTATTACAAAGCAGTACTTTTCTGTCATTGTAGACCATCCAGATGTAGTATCAATTTTCCCCAATCAAGGAAGAAATCTGCACACAACCCATTCATGGGATTTTCTTATGCTGGAAAGGAATGGTGTGATTCATCCCTCTTCCTTGTGGAAGAAAGCCAGATTCGGCGAAGACACCATCATTGCGAATTTTGATACTGGTTTGATTAATGAAGCTTTTAAACTTTTGTGAAAATCTGTTTATGAAATCCTGTATTATTTTTTGGATATAAAGTTGACAATGAAATCGATAATTTCTGGTGGCTTTGATAGGTGCTTGGCCTGAATCAAAGAGCTTTATTGACAATGAGTTAGGCCCCATTCCATCAAAGTGGAAAGGAATCTGTCAGCACGACGATGGATTCACTTGCAATAGGTATCCTCTTTTTCTCCTTTCTGATAATAATAATACTAAATTAATTGATGAATTTGATTCTGCAAAATTAGTTTTTCTTTCATGAAATTGCATGCAGAAAATTTCATGTGAATCTATTCTCAATGATTATGCCTTTTGTTCTTTTAATTACATTCTTTGACCAGTTTTTTTCATTTTAACACTGTAAGATTCTAATAAAATTCCATATCAGTTGTATAGATTATGCATAAATTTGCAGGATAACGACTTGTTATCGAAACAAGTGGAGTTTTATTTATGGTAATGCAATAGAATATTTTATCATAATTTCCTTATGACACCGTTCAACAAGTTAATATCTATGGAAAGCGATCTCAGAGAAAGTTCTTAGAAAAGAAAACTTTATACCATGAAGATAATGTACCTTTTGGATGCCTTTGATTTTATCAAATAGAGCAGACAAAATGTTTTAGAGATTTTCAAAAAGATGACTGACATTACTAGCTTTTTCTTAATCTTTAGTTTTTTAATTTATATTTTTCTCTTTCTTGTTTGCACGCGCTTATTGGGGGGTCTCTACTCACTTCTGCCGAGTTAGTGATATTGTGTGCTTTTAATATTTTCTTACATCAGTTAAGTGCTTGTTTGCTGGTTATATCAGTATTCAGATGCATTGCTCAACTTGGAAATGTTCTACAAGAATATTGAAATATAAGAGAGAGTACCGAAAATATTTATTGTCTGAAAAAAATGGCAGGAAACTAATTGGAGCTAGGTACTTCAATAAAGGTTATGCCGCCTATGGCGGCAATATTACTTCTCAAGCCAGTACGGCACGAGACTATGAAGGTCATGGCTCCCACACACTATCCACTGCAGGTGGAAATTTTGTCCCTGGAGCAAGTGTATTCGGTGTGGGAAATGGAACGGCCAAAGGAGGTTCACCAAAAGCCCGAGTAGCTGCATACAGAGTGTGCTTTCCTCCAATCAACGGCTCAGAATGCTTTGATTCTGATATCATGAAAGCATTTGATTCCGCAATAGATGATGGTGTTGATGTGATTTCAATGTCTCTGGGTGGTGATCCTTCTGATTACTTTGATGATGGCATAGCAATTGGATCGTTCCATGCTATTAGGAACGGTGTAGTAGTGGTAGCTTCTGCTGGAAATTCAGGACCAACACCTGGATCCGTTTCAAATACCGCGCCATGGCTTTTGACAGTAGGAGCAAGCACCATCGATCGGGAATTTCAAGCAGATGTTAAACTGCAAAATGGACAGTACCTAAAGGTAACATTTTTCGGTTCAGAAGTTTGTTTGTTTGGGCTGTCCACAAGCTTTTCTTTTTGACTCTGCTGACTATCAGGGGATGAGCCTTTCTAAACCATTGCCAAAAGATACATTTTATCCACTTATTAGTGCCGCAGACGCTAAAGCTGCCCATGCAATGGCCGAGGACGCGTAAGAACACTATTATTTAAAATCCATGATTTTGGTACTTATTGTGTTCTTGAAAATAATTGGTGCTGCATTATTTGATAATTTAATCCAGGATACTCTGCAAGGCAGGAACACTAGACTCCAAGAAGGTGAAGGGTAAGATTTTGGTATGTCTTAGGGGGGAAAATCCCAGAATGGACAAGGGTGAGCAGGCTAAACTTGCGGGTGCTGCTGGGATGATTCTCTGCAACGACGAGACAACTGGCAATGAAATCATCGCAGATCCTCACATACTTCCAGCCACTCAAATAAATTATACAGATGGTGTTGCTCTCTTTTCCTACGTCAACAAAAGCAAGTAAGATTGCTCTCTCTACATTATTCTCTAACTTACCTCGCGTCTAATCTTTCCTACCAAACAAGTTACAAAAGTATTTATATCTGAGAGATGACCACTGCTCCCCTGTTATCATACACTTACCATCGTATTGATATTTGCAGGAATCCATTAGGATTGCTTACGCCTCCTATGGCAGCAGTGAACGTTAAGCCTGCTCCGTTTATGGCTTCTTTCTCTTCCAGGGGACCAAATACTGTTAGTCCTGAAATTCTCAAGGTCATGTAACTTGGCCTTTTTTTTTTCGTCATCTTATTTCATTGAATGGACCAAAATCTTATCTATTGTGTTGTCGAGTACTTCAAGCAAGTCCTTACTGTTTTCTTTTGTGAGTTTTGTTACTAAACTGAGGTCAATTTTGTCTCCAGCCTGATATTACTGCTCCTGGAGTAAATATCATCGCTGCCTACTCTGAAGGAACAAGCCCTACAGAGAATCTGTTTGATACCCGTACGACTCCCTTTATTACAGAATCCGGGACCTCTATGTCCTGCCCTCATGTTTCTGGCGTAGTAGGATTACTAAAGACCCTATACCCCAAATGGAGTCCAGCAGCAATCAAATCTGCCATTATGACAACTGGTAAAAACTTTTAATTCTCATTGTGATCATCGCCATGATAAGCTATTACATCATTCTTAACACATTTCGTGGTCAATGTAAACAGCAAGAACAAGAGACAACACGGAGAATCCAATGACGGACGCAGGTGAAGAAAAAGCAACACCGTTCGCATATGGTTCTGGACATATTCGACCAAACCGTGCCATGAATCCGGGATTAGTCTACGACTTGAGCGTGAACGATTACTTAGACTTCCTTTGTGGCATTGGTTACAACAAGACACAGCTTAGCAGTTTCACAGGATCAAATAAGCCTTATGATTGTCCAGAGAAGTATAGTACACTGAACTTCAACTACCCTTCTATAACAGTACCAAATCTCTCTGGATCAGTCACGGTGCACAGAAAACTGAAAAATGTTGGCACACCGGGCATTTATGCAGTCCGTATCCGTCAACCGGCAGGATTTTCAGTGTCTGTAGAACCCAATATCTTGAAGTTTGATAAGATTGGTGAAGAAAAGAGCTTCAAGCTGAAGATAAAATCCAAGAAATCTGGAAATGATGGTGAATACTTGTTTGGGGAATTATTATGGTCAGATGGCAAGCATTACGTGAGGAGTCCAATAGCAGTCTCTTGATTGGGCCTAACCCATTACTGATATCTAGTTTTTTTTTTTTTCTTTTTTCTTTTAGGATTCTTTATTGGATGAATAATGTCTAGATTGGTAAAGAACGGAATGTTTATAAGTAAGTTATAATTAATAAATTTTTTCTATTTATTTCAAGAACAATGTTAGCATCATCAAGTATCTGGCATTTGGATTGTTAATCAAACTAGTTATTTTGGATATTGCTCATAATCATTTGACTTGTATTACAATCACGTACTCCCACACTCCTATTCTGGCAAACTCCACTAGTGGGATCCATCCTACGATGTCAACATCAATGAATGTGTTAGGCATGAGCGGAGTCAGAAAATATAATCTATACCATTCGAGATTTAGTTTAAAAAGTTAAATTCATAACACTCATAATAA